TATGAATTATATAAAATATATATAATATTATATAAATAACTTACTTGATAATAATTTCAAATTGTTGAATAGAAACATTTTTTAAATTAATTGTTTTAATATTATTCTTTTTTTTACTGATATTCATTAATTCATTACGAAAATATAAAGATCTGTATCTTAAGATTGCTGAATGTGCTCGAAATATTTTTGTATTTGGAGATTCTCCAACATTAATTACTATGTTGCAATCTTCTTTATCATTAAGAAGTTCGAGATAATTATTTGAAAGGTTTTCAAAGAATTTTAATGCCATTTTTTTAACCAGCTTAAAATTTTTTTATCAGATTCGTTAAAGATGAACTCGCATAAAGCCAATTCTGATTTTATACAATCTGTATTACGCGCTATGGTAGTACAAATAATAAATGGCGATCATTCCAAAATAATTACGTTACGTTAAACTTTATTTTGTATAAACCGGTTTTTAGTAAAGAAAGTGTGTACAACAGACAAGCACGTGAAGTCGGATGACTACTCAACGCCCGTAGATCTCCCACAAAAACACTGAAATACGTAAATCTCCCCCTAACGTGATCTAACCCTGAGCCCAACCCCAATTTACTTATTTGCGCAAGTAACACAAACCAAAAAAGGAAATCGAATTTTGTAAATAAATTAAGTGCGTAAAAATAGAAGTTTAGGATTAGGACGTTAGGGTTGTGAGCTTTAGCAATAAGCTGGAGTTTTTTATAAATAAAATTTCATACCCATTATTTTTTATTAGTTCACCAAGGTCGATTTAAACACTAGTTTTTGAGTATTTTCGCTTTCTTTTCTTTTTTTCTTCCTTCGCACGTGTTCAGATTCTATGTCAGCCAAAATTTCTGTTCTCTAATTGGCCATTTCCTTTTTAGAGGTTTGTATTACGGGTAGATTGAAGAAGAGTTAACCCAGCGATCATCACAACATCACATGACAAGTGTTCGGCCTAGTTTAGGGTTTGGCTAGGGTTAGGGTTAGGGTATATTTAGACAGTTTGTTTTAATTCTGGTAAACAAATGACGTCATATATGTTTATCATGTGATCGTCGATCACTGTTCTTCAAGTGTCCCGGGGGAATATTTTGTGGGAGAGCTACTGACTATTGGCAACTCCAAAAATCTAATTTGTTAATGTAGGTCACGGTAAACTACTTATTCTTTTATACAGTACACCCTCTCAAAACTGATAACCTACTATAACTGATAAAAATTGATCCACTATGTCTGTTCCATAATTCAAACCCGATAACCTGTCATTTCTGATAACCGATACTCGAAAGTTCAGATATCAATAAGATATCAGATTTGACCGGTAACATAAATCGATTTGATTGGCTCGGATTGGGTTTTATGTATCAGATAATATATGTAAAAAATATAATCCAGCCAATTATACTTATTTATGATCATGCAACCAGGGATTCATTGGTATTTAAATCTGATAACCTCCCAAAACTGATACAAAATCTGTTTACCATGCATACCGGGTTTGAGAGGGTGTACTGTATTTGTTTTTAATAAATTCTTAACAACTCTTTTTTTTTTGATCCCTCTAAGTGCATGCCCTCTAAGTGCAGGTTCGCTCTATATGCATCAAAGTAGTCTGGTCCCATGCTGGGACTTATAAAATAAGTGCATGTTCTATATTTTCTAAGTGCAGGATATTTTCTAGTCCACATATATATTTATTTATTCTCTAAATGCAGTTCACGTGATCGAATTTAAATAACCAATCATAACATTTAAAAAATTAATACAAAATTTAATACATACAATCGTATTATTACTAAAGTTATTGTCACTTTTTTCAAATTAGTAAAACAAATAAATTTTATAACTCCTATAAATTCATTTATTTTACAAGAATAGCATGCGGAATTCATAGAATTTATAAAATTCAAATTATTAATTTAAAAAAAGTGATAAAAAAACCATTCTTGAATATATTTGTCTCTAAACGATCCATAAAATTATATTACGATTAAATAAATAATGAAAACCTTAAGAATATGTAAACTAATAAAAAAAATTGCAATTTTTTAAAATTATGCACATAATACACATAATGCAATGCATATATGCATCGGCATATCTTTAGTTTTGAATATTTTTATCGAGAATATGCAGCATAGATTAACGCAATTAATGTATAAATCGAAACAGAATATGCTTGCAATAATAATTTATTAATAATTGCACCAGGTATCGACATTAACAGCTGAATTTGCAACGCATAGTATTAACTGGTGATCTCTTATACTGTATAAAGCAGACTGGCTTTAACTTGCTATAAAATGACAAAATTTTGTACAGGTACAGATCTTGGTTTTTTCATTCATGGCGTCAATTCTAATAATGGAAATTAATAAAATAAGCAGTATACTTAACTTCTGTGCTAGTTCACATGGTATAGCTTAATTGTATACTATATTTAGAATTTAAAACTGATGCTTTCAAATAAGGATTTACACCAGGTATTGACATTATCAGCTGAATTTACAATGCATAGTATTAACTGGTGGTCTCTTACACTGTAAAAAGCAGACCAGCTTTAAGTTGCCATAAAATGAAGGTGCAGATCTTGGTTTTTTGGACAATGAGATATTGATTCGTCTATGGCGTCAATTCTAATAATGGAAATTAATAAAATAAACAGTATATTTAACTTTTGTGTTAGTTCACATGGTATAGCTCAATCATATACTACATTTAGAATTTAATTACTGCACTACTCTAACTGGATTATCTATGGCATATTTTGCACTGCATAAAACAGGCTAGCCTTTTTATAAAGTTTTAAGTTGCCTGGCAAAATTCTTTATGGATTGGAAGTGTTCGGATATAAATCTTGATTCTTTGAGCAATAAGATACTGATTTGCCTATGGCGCAATTCTAATAATGGAAATACTGTATTATCGCTACAAATACTCCAAAATAGACAATTAATTAAATTTACTTATCTGAACTTGTAGTATTACCCTAATTGCATGACGTTTAGAATAATTGCCGTATTACCGGATTATTTCTGGCATATTCTTGCCTAGCTATTTTTTCAATTTTAGATTTTCTCTTGGCGATGTTCATATGACTTCTAATTTTTCATCTTTGTATAAATAACCTTCAAATTTGATGAGAGTCAAAGTTTTATTAGACAAAGTCTAGTATTGTTTTGGTATTATTCATATAACAAAAAAGGCATTCCAATCTATCATGATATATTTTAAATAAAACCACTTGTAAAGATAAGATATTATCGCTTTTTCAAAATTAGTAAAATATAAAATTTTATGAATTTTATGAATCCCACATGCTATCATCGTAAAACAATAGAATTCATAAAATCTGATTTTTTAAAGAGCAACAATAATAATAAATAAATAAATTAAAATTATTTAAACTTGGAACTTTATCAGACCTACCCCATCAAAAATTTAAATATTACAATGATTAAGAGAACCACATTAAATAACGATCAACGACTAGCGGTTATAAAATATAAAAATGAAAATCCTGTTATTACCTATGTTGAAATCGCTAAGTGGGTTAAAGTTAAATTTGGTCTAGAGGTTCATGATACAACAATTGGGAGAATACTAAAATAAAAGTAGTGATGAGCTTGAAAAAAATTCTACAAAAAACGTTCAAGAGAAATTCGACATCCTGAGCTAGAAAATTCGTTAAAAGAATAGGTTTTACAAAACCAAGCTCATGTGATTTTAAGTGATTCGATCTTAAAAGAAAAGGCAAAAAGATTTGCACAAATACTTAACATTCCGGATGAGGGTTTTAAATTTTCTACAGGATGGTTGGCTAGATTTAAACAACGGCATGGAATTAAAAAAGTTAAATGACATGGTGAAGATGCTTCCGTTGATAAAAATATGATAGCAGTAGCTATTCCAGCATTAAGAGAAGTATTGATGCATTATCACCTACAAGACATATACAACAAGGATTATTTTACCGGTTTAATTTAATTTCTTATTATTAATCAAAGCTATATACAGTACTTAATATTAATAATCTGTTTATCTAAATATTAGACTTGAGCCTGACACTACTTTGGCAACAATTCGTCTAAGCGGAAGAAAAAAAAATAAAGAAAGGTTAACAATTGCATTATGTGCAAATGCAGATGGAAGTGATAAACTTAAGCCATTGGTAATCAGAAGGTACTTAAATCCACGATGCTTTAAAAATGTCAATCGAAGAAGTCTTAGTGTAATATATGAAGCAAATAAAAAAGCGTGGATGACAGGAATAATATTTCAACAGTGGTTAAAAGCATTTGACCGAAGAATGGAAGGACGTAAAGTAATTCTTTTAATAGATAATGCACCAAGCCATGCTATTGACGGTATAGATCTTCAAAATACAACTATTCATTTTTTGCCTCCACATACAACTTCCAGAATTTAGCCAATGGATGCTGGAATTATAATGTCATTCAAGCATCATTACCGTTCCCAATTCATTAGATGGCTCTTAGATCGTTATGAGTCTGGAAATACTCAAAATAATTTGGATACTCTTACCCCTATAAATTTTATTGTAAATGCTTGGAATGATGTTTCTTCTACAACGATTAATAATTGTTTTCGTAATACTAACATTCTTCCTGTTAATAGTGATGAGAATACTTTTATTAATAATGATGTTATAGTTGATATTGAGAATAACGATATTTTAAGTGAATTACAAAACAATATAGATGCTCTTCGCTTACAAAATACTATGACCATCGATGATTATATTAATTATCAAGAAGAAGATATCACTGACGGGAATGAAATTCTTAGTGATCAAGATATTGTAAATCTCGCAAGACATTCAGAAGAACCTGAAGATGGAGAGGAACCAAATGATAGCATGGAAATTCGTAACTATACGCATAAAGAAGCGTTTAATGCATTGGGCTTAATTACTCGATATCTTTTACAACAGGGTGGTGATACGTATGACGGAGTATATCAAAATGATTTCAAAAGTTAGCCAAGCAGCAAGAATTGCAAGAAATAACTCATTACAACAAGCTAATCTTGATTCATTTTTTATCTCTAATTCTACTAACAATAATAGAGATAATGAAATGATAGAAGAGACAGATTTTATGTTGGAAATAAGTGAAGAAGAATCTTCATTATCTAATGAAGATTCTTAAATTATCCATCTTGTGTAAGATCTCAAAATTTACTTCGTAAAATCTGAAGATTAATAATTTAAAATGAAATTGAATGCAGATTTTATATAAACGTATATTACAAAATGCTTATATAAAGAATTCTTTATAGCATTGCTAATTAAGAGTAGTCAAATATTATGGAGCGAAATAGAAGTAGGGTTTAAGTACTCTTGTAACCAGCGAATGGGAGAACTTAGTACATTCATGCTGAGTTTAACTCCGATGGTTGACGTGAAACCTGATGATAAATCATAGAACTCAGATTTTATTAGGCATTTATTATATAAAAGAGTAATCTAGAATTAACAAATTATATTCAATGAATTGGTAAGTTTAATTTTATCATAAAATTTTATTTTTTATAATTATTTAAATTTTTTAATATTGTAATTTAGAATAGATTAATACTAGCTTAATTTTAATTATTTGTATGCTAAAAAAACAAGCTGAATTATTAATCAATTTGAAAAGTTTCAAATTAATTTATCTTTTAAACATGTTAAAGGTGATATTAATGAGTTTGAGATCATACATATGACAAAAAGCATAAATTAGATAAATATTTTATATAAAAATTATAATTTATTTTTAATTTTAATAGTAATTTATTTTATTTATTAATTTTTTAGTTATGAGCTTTTGTAGAATATATACAAATGTCTCATTGGCTAATGATTACAAGAAATTATTTAGTAGTTTATTTGATGTAATTCAAGAACTTACTAATAAAACTTTACAAATATATCATATATATAGAAAAGGTTGGAAATATATAATAGGTGATTTAGATATTGGGTAAGCAAAAGAACTGGGTCTTGCTTTATATGAATTAGATACATTGAAAGATTAGGAAATACATTTAATACATATTTTCAAATTATGTATTATACATTTTCATCGGTTAGTAATTTGTAAATTTATATTTATTTTAATTATAATATAATTTATATAATAAAATAATTTAATTTAATTTTTCTAAAAAATAATTTAGAATGAGCGAAGTTTTATAAAACTTCATGGATTATCTTATCATTAAATATAAATATGTCAAAAATGGAACGTTATATTTAGATAAAGTATAATAATAATACTAATATGGCAGGGGCATCTCATGCTTTAATCAACAAAGAAGAAAAACAACTAAAATTAATGTCAGCTATTCTATGGTAATATATATCTTTAAATTATAAATATTTATTTTATTATTATATTATTTTTTAATATTTAAT